AGATTATAAATATGATTCTTGAATTTACTGTACAACCGGTTCTGACCTCAGGTCACAAAAAAAAACTTTTGAATCCAATAATGCCTATATTATTTTTTTTAAAAAAATAACCGTTGGGGTTTCAGACTTACAATAAAACTCTGAAAATAAGCACCATTTTTTAATTGATAGAGGTACTTATTCACTAATGTAGTTAAAATTTTATGAAATTTTAATAAAATTGGGCATGCTGCGCCACAACACGTGATTACCATTCTTTTCTGCCATCACTGTATATAACTTTATAGAACTACATAAGTTTTATAAAAAAATATACTTCGTGATGTAGTAAAGTATATATTTTAAAAAATCAAATTTGTTAATCAAAGAACTTCTTGACGGATGAAATCAGTTCAGTTATAATAATGAATAATAAAAAATACCAACTATTCATATAATTTAAATTTTCTATATAATCTATATGTATACCAAAATTTTATATAAACAAAAATTCGTTTATAATAAAACTTTTTAGAAATATAACTAAATTTTACCAAAATTATTTGGTAAATACTTTGAAGTCTCTTGTTTATATCAGTAAAAATTTATAACTTGTATTATTTAAAAATATTCATGTTTATATATAGATAAAAAAAGTTAGGTAACCTAAAATTTTGTTAGGTTGCACAAGAATTGCTAATTCTGATTGGTCAAATCTGGGGTATTTACAATTTTGATTGGGCAATCATGTGATTTCATATGATTTACACATGATTACTATTTGCAGACACCCTACCCTTAAGTTTAATGATGAACATTGCTTTGCAAAATTCTTTAAATAATCTAGATAGAGCTGCGATCTGTTGAATATCCATTATGACTATTCAATGAATAATCACGGGTTTTTGCCACCCACGAATGATATTGAATGAATATTCAAATTTTATATGAATGTTCACGTAATAGTAAAACAGATTATTCATCTCGAATATTCACGAATTCCGTGTAAAAAACTAATAATACTCTAATCCTTAAATATTCGTGAATTTTGTGTAACCAAATATTCACTTTTAATTGAATATTCATTTTTGACCGTGGATATTCACGGATCCCAGCTCTAATCTAGATCGTGATTACTTGCCAGTATGGAATCCTTAAAACTGGTATTCTCAGGCTGTTAACAATTCTGATTCCTTCGATCTTGATGAAATTTTCTTGAATAAAATAATTTCATTATGGTAAGCAGAATTTAAACAAAGCTCTTTATTCCGATCCTCATATCAATTAATATGTAAAAATTAATATGTAATATATCAAGAACAAAATAAATTTCTATATAATAATTAAGAAATTCTACTATTAAATTTGTGTCCTTAATAATGATGAGTTCAAATTTTTTTAATGTTTTGTAAAAATCGGTCTCATAATTAAAGTAGCTCGTGACTAGAACATTCAGCTAATACGTAATAGATCACATATAATCTCACTGTTACATCTTTACATAGGCAGAGTATGCTACGGTGAAAATCAGTAATCGATTTACAAAATTTCTCTTTCCACCACTCAAATTTCCAAATTATTGCACTTTGCAAAAAGATGTGACCTCTGCAGATCACAATGTCGTATGAAAGTCGGAAATTTTGTAGATTTTTAGAATCTTACCCAGTGTTGAAAATTCGAATGTGCGGATCCAATCAAATTGCTTTATTTCTGAAGTCAAGCAATTTGGTTGGATCCGCACATTCGAATTTTCATAAATATAACTGATCGAAAATATGAATTTAGAATTTTCCTCGATAAAAATCATGAGGCCACGTCTTGAGGGTCTTAAGGAATTTCTATAAATTCAAAAGGTTTACTTCCTAATAATTTTGATTTAATTTGAATGATCTTGTATACATTCGGTCTGCATGTTTTGGCGAATTATCACAAATTATTTAATCAGATTCCAAAAACTGGGTCGTAGCTTCGTCTACGTCATCTAATCCTTTTATTTTATCACGCCAAACATTAATTTATTTTTAATTTTATCTATACCATCTGGACCGTTTATTTTATCAATCCAATAATTAATTTGTTTTTAAATTTCGTCTAAATCATCTGTGACTTTTATTTCATTAAGCCAAAATTTAATTGGTTTTTTAATTTCGTCTACGTTATATGAACTTTTTATTTTATCAATGCCATATTTAATTTTACGTTTTATAACTTCGTTTACATAATCTGAACTTTTTATTTTATCAAGCCAATCTTTAATTTCATTATAAGCATTGGAAGCAGATGGTCGCCAATTCGATATAGTAATTGGGAGTTCGGTCTGCGAATTTTGGGCGTAATCCAATGCAGATCTTCGTCGCAAGATTTTCGTCAAACCCATATCCTTCAAAAGGTCTTTGCCCAGTCGACTATTCTGTCATAATAATACCGAAGCTGTAAATATCAGCTTTTTGTGTCAATTCTTGTTCTAATAAAACATCCGGTGCAACATAGGTCATGACTCCATAAATATTGCCTTTTATGATTTTTATGGATAGTCCTAGTTCTGATATGTAGGATCGCATACTTTTATCTAATAAAATATTTCCACTGTGATGGTCTCTATGAATATATCTTTCATGATGAATGCCGCGTAATTCTATATCAACAAGTAGCTTTAATTTAGTCTTCTAAGTTTCTTAAAGTCTGACCTTAAAGATTTCCTCTATCGGCATACTGAGCAACCATCATGCATTCATTAGTTTTTGTATTCCGAGTTAGGCCATAAGCTTTAAGTTTGATGCCCTTAAACCGCATCTCATGTGCTTTAACTTGTAATTTTAAATGAATGAATTAATTATTTCTTAATGTTGGAATTGTTAACGCCGAATTGGATATATATTTTGCGTGAGATGATTAAATTACACTTATTTCATTTCGCAAGATAAATTTGATAAATAGTAAATCACAGCAAGTTGTGAATTTTACATTAATAAATTGATATAATTTATCACTAAAAAGCTCTAATGTGTTAAAATACAATTTTAGTCTCATGAAAGACCTATATAGCATCTAGCGAGGTAACTCCCGGTCATTAAATAAATTCTATCACGATCATTTAAAATAAAAACTATTACTACAAGTTAACCTTTTTATATATTACAAAAAAAAAAAAAAAGTTTCATGCTATAAAAACAAGAAATTAAATTTTTATGGCCTAATTTATCAAAATTAGCTAGTAATT